GATTCCAATTCAAATAAGCTGAGTTTTGAGACCATATTCTTTTTTAAAAATATATATATTTTTTCATTGATTTCAGAGAGGAAAGGAGAGGGAGAGAGAAATAGAAACATCAATGATGAGAATCATTGATCAGCCACCTCCTGTATACCCGCCACTGGGCTTTCAGCCTGCAAACCAGGCATGTGCCCCGACTGGAAATGGAACCGCGGCCTCCTAGTTCATAGGTCAACGCTCAACCACTGAACCACACCGACTTGGCTTGAGGCCATATTCTTCATCACATTGCTATATGTTCTTGATCTTATATAATTCAGCCTTACTGAGCTGTTCATTTCTTCAATTCAGTGAAGTCTGGGATAGTAATAATTGGTTAAAACTCCAAAAAGTTCCACTAGTCTTATGGCTGCAACTCAGATGCTGTTATCCTGGGCTTCCAGCGGAAGTGTGTGCATGCCAACTAGCCACACACTTCCAGCCAGTTGCATAAAGTCATTATTCATGATTTAGGTTGGAAAACTTCCACTGATGACCATGTTCTTCCTGTGTATGATTAACTGGCACCTGTGACTTTAAATGCACAGGATGATAAGCAGAGAACTTAACCATTGTAAGTGTATAGTTGGTGTAGTTGTGTTAAGTCTGTTCGTTCACATTGTTGATAAACAGATATTCGGAACTTGTTCACCTTGCATATCTGAAACTGTATACCCATAAAACTTACTTTTTTTTCTTTTTCCTTGTCACCTAGCCCTTGGTAACCACCATTCTGTTTTCTGTTTCTACGAATTTGACTACCTTAGTTACCTCATAACTAGAATCATATAATGTTTATCTTTTTGTGACTGGCAATGTTTATCTTTTTGTGACTGGCTCATACATAGCATAAAGTTTTCAAGGTTCATACAGGATTTCCTTCATTTTTAAGACTCAGTAATCTTCCATTGTATGTATATACTGTATTTCACTTACCATTCATCCATTGATGGACATTTAAGGTGCTTCCTTGGGTATTGTGAATAGTGCTGTTATGAACATGGATGAGCAGATACCTCTTTGAGACCTTGCTTTCAGCTCTTTTGTATGTGTAGCCAGAAATAGTATTGCTGAATCTTATGGTAGTTTTATTTTTAATTTTTTGAGGAACCTCCATGTTGTTTTCTTTAGTAGTTGCACTTTTTTACAGTCCTACCAACAGTGCACCAAGATTCTAATTTCTCCACATCCTCATTAATACTTGTAATATTCTGTAAATTCTTTTTCATTTTTTGGTGAGACAGTATACATTTGATTTCAGAAAATTTAGTATTACTAAAGCTAATACTTTTGAGCCAGCATATTTCAGTGTTCTCCAGCCCTCTGAATGTGTTTAATTTCAGAAGCTAAATATTTTCCAGAACATTCCTTGAGTAAATGAATAACTTGCTCTTTCGAACCTAAAACGCAGATTGATTTCTTCTTTCTTTTGGCCACCACTGTCTTATCCAGCTCTAAAAGCTTCTTAAAATTAGTCACTAGGAAGGTGTTCTCACCTCAAAAGTCTGCTAAAGATGAAGAAAAACTGGTGTTATTCAAAGACAGTCTGTACTTAGAGACTTAGAATTCAGGATGAAAACAAACTCCCTGAAATAACAAGGATGTTTGAAAGAGAAGAACTCACCAACCCACTCCTACAGAAGGCCGAATTACAAGGAAATAGGCCCCTTAGCCATGAAGCTGAGAAGTAAGTTTCTGAAATCATGCCTTTCTATTGATTTTTTCCATTTACTTGAAATGTCAATCATTAGTTGGGGAAAGCAGGGTGCTGCTATTAAAGCATCGATATTAACCAAATGGTAGAGTAAGGGCCAGAAATTGCCCATCTTTGATCTTAAGAGAGCTAATTATGTTAGCTATATGTAATATTTTTATTCTGGGTTATAAGTTGAAAAAAAAAACACACCTCTAAAACATTTATCTTATTTCTGTTAACATTTTTTTGGTTTTTCTTGTTTTCATTTCATTAGTGGAAACTTTCAGAAGCATTTTTTTACTCTACACATGAGAGCAGATGTATCAAAAGAAATTATAACACATTTAATGTCACATTTATTTTCTGTAGGATTTAATCATTTAAATTCTCAAAAGAGTTACTAGTATAGAAAAAAATCAGAAAATTTAACATTTTTTTCAGGCAGTGACTGATAAATTTTCTAATGCTACCAGATAATCTATAAAAATAACTGATAAGAAAGAAAAGACTGAAAATATATAAAAAAAAATATTAGTCAAAACTCAGGGTGCTTCAGTTGGAGAGAAATAAAATTAGTAAAGACCTATTAGGAATGACAAACGTTATGTGGAAATATAAAAGTAAAAGTGAATAATAGCTAAACATAAGGCACTTGTTCTCTGTGAAACTAAAAATGGCAAACCTGGGGACAATGACCTTGCCTTTCCCATAGTTAACCAGTCTTGTGGTTATCTCGCATACAGAAGTCCATGGACATACCTTTCAAAACAGAAATGTCCTTGCCATTGTAGAACTTACTGTAATTTCTCAGTGGTGAGTATTCAACAAGGGAGAATACGTTTATTTTTAAATAAAAGAGGTTTTTATAGCATTTCAACTTAGCCTTTGCTAATCTTAAAGAGTCAAATTTCTTATTGAGCTTATAAGTAAAGCTTAATTTTAACTAAATTAGAGGGAAAACGCCACATGTATAGAGAAAAGATGTTATGAAACAACAGCAGTGTTGCTATTTCATATTTTTAGAACGTAAGTGCTAAAGCTTATTACTTGCACAGCAGGATGATTTTATGAAGGAATCACTATAATACAGTGAGACTTTGAATAAGTCTGTGGACTTAGTCACAAAGGGACCATGAAACAAATAGAGAAAAGAGAGAAAAATAGAGTCCTGTGACTTTCAAAGGCCTTTTTGGCAATAGTTGGCAAGGATAAGTAATGCCCAGCCATAGTTAAAACAGTGTTTTGTTTCTTTCTAGTCTAGCAAAGCCTTTTGCCAATGAAAATACAAGGGGGCACCATTTTCTGGTGGACCCCTCAGAACAGAGCCAACAAGCTATTTGACCTATTTTGTTACAAAATTCATTTCAGATAGTGGAAGTATTTCTTCTAGGGAGTTGTGACAGGGGTGTCTAACTACATCCAATTGCTTGAAACCACCTTCCATGTCTTCTGGGCTTTCCTTTCATTCCCCTTGCATGAGACGCCTTTTTCAAACAATTCCAAGGAGTCAGCTATCATGACATCTGATTTCCAGAAAATAGACTGTTTTGCTGCGCCATTGGTGGAAATGAACCTCATGCCTACACAGCCCCCTCCTCTTTGGCCAGCCAACTATGGCCAGGCCTTCTACTCTCTTTGAAGACTCTCACTTGGCTTAAAGTGAGGAGGAACCTTCTCTAGCCTTCTCGCCAAATAATAAAAGGATGAGGTTGGAGCACAACATACTGACCGCTTTCTCCAAACGGATTCTCTCTTGGCACCTCTCATCTCTGTTTTTTTATACCTTTTAAGTATGTGAGGGGCAAATGCTGGCCAGTGTTAGAGTCTCTTAGCATCACTTTTAGGATGTGGAGATATGTGGTACCTACTCCACAGTTTTCAGTCTTGGGGTCCTCAGTCAAAAGTGAAACATAGTTCCATTTCCATAGCTTCTACACTTCGATGCCATGATGTAGTTATGCTATGTTTTAACTTAATCCTACCTTTAAAAAATAAAACACTTTACTGATGTATGACTGACATACAAAAAGCTGTAAATATTTAATGCATATAGCTTGATGGGTTTGGAGTTAAGTATGTACCCGTGAAACCCTCACCCATAATCTATGCCATAACTATCCATCACCTCCAAAAGTTTTCTCTCACCCTCTTTATGTGTTTTTTTTTTTTATGATAAGAACGCTTAACCTAATACCTGCACTCGTAGAAAAAGTTGTTAGTATACAGTGCACTATGGTTAACTGTTGTCATTATGTGGACCAGTAGACATCTGGGACTTACTCATCTTGCATAAGTGAAACTTTGTGCTCTGGCAATCACTTTGTTTAGCGCCTTGCTCTTTAATAGGAAAGCTATTGAAATGTGTTCCTTAATTTAAGCGCTCTTACATTCTTGAGTATTCTTAAATTAAGAAAGTTGCTACTATGAGAACATTGACTAAACCAAACACACCGAAAAATTGGATTGTGTGTTCACCACCCAAAATCAAGTCTCCTTCTGTCACCATTCCACCACCCCCCGCTTTACTCTCTTCTGCCTCCCCCCAGCCCCCTTTCCATATGGTAATCAATCACCATCCTGTTGTCTGTATTTATGAAGTTTTTGAGTTTTGTTTTGGGTGTTTGGGTTTTTTGCTTCATCCCAATATATTCTGTAAGAATTTCAAAAAAGAAAATAATTGGAAGGAACAGACAATATACAGGAAAAAAAAGAAAAACTTCTAATGGCACTATTAATATTCTCAACAGGATAAAATATGTTGTACCTATGAAACCAGACTAAAGTGATACAAAAAGGAATATTTTAAAACACACACACACACACACAAAAAAAAAATAAAAGCTCTAAGAGAATAAAGATAAAATTGCATAAACAAAAAACTCAGTAAAAGCTTGGAAGGAAATATTCCCAAAAGAATAACAATAGGATAAAGGAATGAAAATAAGAGAAAAATAAATAGGAAAATTAGAGGGCCCAGTTATGGAAGTCCATCATTTAAGCAGGAATTCCAAGAAGAGATACAAAAGAAAAAATAGGGAGAAAAGTCAGACATAACTAAAGAAGATTTCCCAGAACTGAAGACATGAATTTCCAAATTAAAAGATCCCAGCACCAAAACCAATGAATAAAAAGAGACCCAGATATACACCTAGATATACTATCCTGAAACTTCAGAAAAATTGTGACAAAGAAATGATCATCAGATCTTCAGGAGAACGTATTCACTCTGGATCAAGTGGTATGGGACGTGTCTGCAACAAGGCCAGAAACGTGAAAATAATGGATTCAAAATGTTAATGGTAAGTTTTTTCCTACTAAAATTTTTACTAGAATTATCAACAATACTAGAGACCTGGTGCACAAATTTATGCATGGGTGGGGTCCAGCAAGCCTGCTCTTGTTCCAACTCCCGGTCGAAGGGACAATTTCCATATTAGCCTTTTACTATATAGGATGTAAGCGTAGAATAAAATCATTTCCATACATGCACATTTAAAAAATGTCTGCCCTATGTTCCATTTCTTACCCAAGAATATAAGAAAAATAAAACAAGAAGGAAAATATGGAATTGAACAAGCAGGAGATACCCATAAGGGAGATGTGAAGGGGATCTTCTGAAGGGCAATTCCACATCTGAGGATAGCTGTCCTAGATACCAGAACAGGGGAAGGTCAAAATGGATAGAGTTCAAGGCTGGTTCTGGGGAGTGGAAAAAGGAAGATATCAGAGGAACTGCTTTCCTTCATAAGAAACCTATATAATAGGTAAACCTCATTGGTGAAATGATGAGATGAGCACAGATTTTTAGAAGGTGAAGGGTTAGCAATGCAGATACCTGGACAAATAAAATTCCAGGAAGAAGGAAAGAAAGGCCCTGAGGCAGGAGCTTGCTTTATATCTCAGGAACATCCAAGTGAGGGCGATTGGAAAGAAGTGAACAAGGGCAGAAGAGATGGGGGTGAGTTTGGAGAGATAATGGGAGCAAGATCACATGCCATCTTAGAAGCTTTTATTCTGGATGATAGGACCATAGTTCTTGCTCAGAGTGAAATAAGGAGTGATTGATTTTTAGCAAAGAAGTAACAAGATCTGACTTAAATTTCAAAAGACTCCTTTTAACTGGAATGTGAAGAATAGGTGTTGGACCAGCAAGGGTGGAAGCAGAGAGACCAGTTTGGAAGTTATTGCTGTGATTCAGGTGAGAAATCATGGTTCAGGCCAAGATGGTAGTGATGGGGATCGTGAAAAGTACTCACATTCTGGACATATTTTAAATGTAGAGCCCACAGATTGTCCTGGTCAATAGGATGTGGGGTGTGACAGAGTAAAGAAAAAGAAAACACACAAAATAAATGTCAGATATTCCTCTAAGGCTCTTGGCCAGGGCAAATGAATGGACTTTCTCTCATGTAAAGTGGGAACGATGAGGGTGGAGCAGGTTTTCTGAGAGTTCAGGAGTTTATTTCTGAACAAGTTAAGTTTGAGATGTTAACTAGGCCTCCTAATGGAGATATAGAATAAACAAGTTGGCTCTACAAATCTGGGATTTGGAGGGAATAATTGTTCTGGGAATATTCATTTGGGAGTTTACAACATATAGATGATAACAAAAACTATAGATGAGCTCACCAAAAGAGTAAGCATCAACAGATGACCAGGAACCGAGGACCAGAGTGCCCAGTGTTGAGAGGAAGATCTGGCAAAAGAGACAGAAGGATCAAGCAGTGGAATAGGAGGAACTCCAGGAGCTTGTGATGTATGGAGGCCAGTGAAGACAGTGCATGGAGGAGATACAGGTCAGTGAGAACTGAGATGACCATGGATTTTATCAAGGTGAAGGTCATGGAAGACTTTGAGAGCAGTGCCGTGGTCCACCTGCAAGCCCAATTGCAGTGGATTTAAGAGAAAGCATGGAAAGGGAATTAGAAACAGCACATGTAGAAAATTTCAAGGAGTTTTTCTGCATAGATGAGCAGAAGAAGAGCAACTTATGTGGAGTAAATTGGGTCAAGAGAGGGCTTTTTTAAGATGGGAGAATAGCAGCCTATTTTTATGTGGATGAAAGCAATACAGTAGAGGGGAAGTTGGATGATGTAGAGGAGAGTGGAGAGTTTTGGAGGAACTGTCTCTTAATAGGTGAGAAAGGAGGGAAGATAATGAGCTTAAAAGGAGCAGATGAGAAGGCTGAGTGGGTAGCTACAGATACTGGTGGTGGGCCGGTATGGTAATGAGAGTCCTCCTCTAAATGCTTCATTTTCTCACTAAGGCATGGAGATCATCAACCAAGAAGACGGATGGAGAAAGAGCTTATTAGGAGAGAGAAAATAGTGTGAAAGCATCTCTAGGAGAGTGGGAGAGTGCATACCTCAGAAAATACAGCACAAAACCCCCTTGAAGGTCATGGTCATCAATATCATGACTGTGTAGTTATATTTGAAAATGCTAAGGAGCTTTCATTATGGTTGTCCTTTTAAGATGGACTTTGAATAAAGAATGTTCTCAACTGGTAGGCTAAATTCCTCATAGAAGTCCAAATAGGTCGATGTATAAACCACCAGGGAGTTTCTGTTTGACGTGTGTGCACAGATTGTCCACTGCTGTGCCTAGATGACCTCTACAGCCTGGCTTTTCTTCTCTCTCTGCTCTCAAAACCTGTCTGATTTGCATGTCTGTTCTTTTTTATTGGCATGTATCTAGATGGAAATGTTAGCATTTAAACCATTATTGTTGAGCTCGGCAAAGGAAAAACAAAAGGTACTAGAATAGCTGAGATGAGAGAAGGGAGAGATGCAGATTTAGCTAAGAAATTACTCAGAATTGAAGGCCCATGAAGGTAAAGCCGGCTGGACCATGTTCTATATATAAACAGAAAAGAAAGCAGATGATGTTGTGGACATTTAATGTGTCAAAAGGAGTCCTAAACTGCCTTGAGTTACTTGAGGTGGGTCTGCTAAATGTTGGGTTAATTGAGTACTGTACCTTTTATTTCATTCTTCAAACGAAAATATTCCTTGCTTCTTGGTTTTAATTTATTTGCAAGAAATTTATATAACCCCTCATTTACTTTTTAAATCAAGCAGCTTCATATATTATTTAAAAGAAGTAGTTAAAAGCTTTCTATTCGGGCTTGTATGCCTGCATGATTTTAAGCAGATTACTTAATCTCTCTGTTTGGTGTTTTAATAGTTAACACATCGAGAACAGTGGAACTGGAAATATCACCACCATCACAATCCTTAAATTTGATTCTTGTGCTTCACACTTGGAAATAAAATCAGAAGGCATACATGAGTTTTTCTTGATTCATGAATTAAAAACTCCATTTTTACAGAAATAAAAGATGATTTACATATTATTTTTCTGATGAAATGTGTTTTTCCCCTTATATCACAATATGTAATGACTTGATAGAATATTTAAAAACAAGTTATTACGTTTAAGGGAAATAAGAGGGCACCTGGGCATTAAAGCTACAAATGCATTTTTGACACACTGCTGCCCCCTGCTGCCTGATAGGTAATTTTACTTTTGCACAAGTCACACCCTCATAAAATTAGCAAAACTGTATCCAGTATTATAGGATCACACGAATGAGGAAACTGAGGTCCCGAAAGTCATTAAGGGAGCAAAAATGGTGGAAGATTCAGGATTAGACTACTGAGAAGTCACTTCTTCCTGCTTTGCCAGACATTCCCCTATTAAATTAAGACTTAACAAGTATGTGTCTACTATGGGCCTGGTACTGTTAGAAGCACACAGGATGGAGAAGTGGAAACCAAGACCTCTGCACTGACAAAACTTGTATTCTTGTGTGAGTAAACAGCCAATACATAAGAAAAATATCAATACGTAAAAGATTTCAGGTTATGATCTGTGTACTAAATAGTAATGGTGATGCCTAACATTTATGGGTCACTATAAAAGCAGAAAGTTAAAGGCACTGGTTTGCTTTCTGTGAGTTGCCTCATTTGCTTCTCACAACAACACTAAGGTAGCAACTTCACCCAGAGGCAAGGCCAGAATGATCCTAAGAGGTGGCATCAAGATTTGAAACAAAACCACTTCTATTAAGGAAAACAAATAGAAATTACATATAAATATATGTTAATGTAACTCGCTTTCAAGTGCTTTGGTCATGTAGCCAATAATTTATAATAATAAAAGGGTAATATGCTAATTAGACCGACATCATTCCGGACATCCTTCCGGACGGAGATGGAGCCAGAGCAAAGCCTAGGTCCCAGGTGCCTGCTGGGACCCAAAGCCCAGGTCCTGGGTGCCAGAGGGAAGCTGGTGCAGGCAGCCGGGGGAAGGAAGGTCTGCCTACTCTTGCATGAATTTTGTGCATCGGGCCTCTAATATATATATACATTTTTTGAAGGGAAAATAAGATTGTTGGAGGACAAGAGTTGGTAAAGAGCAACTAGTTAGAAGAATATTAACTACTGTCCCACATAGGCTTCCTCTCTAGCCCCTGTTTTCGCCAGAGCCTTCAGCCTGGTTGCTTTATGTATTTATTTATTTATTTTATTTTTTGCAGAATATAAAACCTTTATTGCTTAACTGAAATGTTAATTCTTGGCTACAACTATTCATATAACTGCTCCATGTAGGAATCACAGTAGTTAACATTAAGTACAACTTTATTACCCCATATTTCTTAAGATCATTCATGGCACATTGCCCCTTAATCCCTAAATATGCAGTTAAAGGTGTTTTCAGAAATGACTAGGAAACTGATAAGAGAGCTAAAATAATTTCTGAAGTCAAATAGATATGAATCTTGGCCAGAGAGCTCCTTAATTTCTCACCTTCTATAAACAGCTTCACAAAGCATTTGGAAAATCAGCCTAGATGTAAACGTAATGAACCACATTTCCCGTCCATTCTTGAAGTTGATCTTTCCCAAGAAACGATCGAACAGCACCTGTCTTTGACGATGGCAGTGAGGCCTGACCCTGATACTCAAGCTCTGGTTCTAGATCAGTTTTCTGTGTTGGACTGGTCCGGAGTCACTTCCTTCAGCATCTTCATCAATGAACTTAAGTGATTATGTGTTCATATTATCTTCTCTTTTATCTCTGCAATCTTTTCTGGTAGAGGCATGTTGTGAATATCCATCTCAGATGCATTTTCCATGGCTTTTGTTTTTAAGAGATAGCATTCCATTCTGTCACTGGAAAGGCAGAAGTGACCTTTCAATGCAGCCAGGGCAGGCAGCATGGGTAGAATACAGATGGAAACCAATGGGAACCCCACAAGAACTACAGAATAAAAGGTTGTAAGTGCTGCCTTTGAGTAAACCTTCAATGCCAACCAGGAAGGGCGCTTCCAAAACACCGTTATCTGTAACCCTGTAGAAGACCACGGCCGCGAGAGGCCCCAGGCGAGGTGCACCGAGTCAGCGAGCACGGCGCGGCCTGCGGAGCCGAGCGGCGAGGACCCCTTCACCGCCTGCGTGTCCCACTCCATGGAAGTTGTAAAAGAGGATCCATCAACTATCTTAGTGCCATCGCAAAAGTCAGCCTTCAACCAGGAAGGGCGCTTCCAAAACACCGTTATTTGTAAACCTGGAGAAGACCACGGCCCCGAGGGCCCCTGAGAGGCCCCAGGCGAGGTACACCGAGTCGGGAGCACGGCGCAGCCCGCAGCTTTGCACCCCGAGAGCGATGCTGCCGCGGCCAAGCAGCCATCTTCCCGCGGCTTCTGCCGCCGGGATGTGGTTGCTTTTTTTAAATTTTTAAAATTATAGTTCACATTCAATATTATTATGTATTAGTTGCAGGTGTACAACATAGTGGTTAGACAATCATATACTTTACAGAGTGGTCCCCTGATATTTCAAGTACCCTCCCTGGTCCGTTAGTACATAGCTGTTACAATATTATTTTCCCCCTATTGACCTCTCCCTGGCCACTCCCACTCCCCAACCCCACCCCAGCACATGCCCTTACCCTCCTAGTGTCTGTGTCCATTGGTTTTTCTTATATGCATGCATACAAGTCCTTTGTTTGATCTCTTACTCCCCTCCCCCTCACCGCCAGCCTTCCCTCTGAGGTTTGACAGTCAGTTCAATGCTTCTCTGTCTCTGGATCTATTTTTGTTCATCCGTTTATGTTGGATGGACCTGGATAGCATTATGCGAAGCGAAATAAGCCAGTCGGAGAAAGATAAATACTACATGATCTCACTCCTTTGTGGAATATAGTGAACAGCCTGGTTGCCTTTAATATTCTCTGGTTTGTCATAGGGTGGCTCCCTGCCCTGAGCAGGTTACTCTAAATCTCCTCTAACAATGGAACAATACTCTCCCTTAAGCAGGTGTCATGCCATCAAATGCAACTGAGGCTCCTCCCACTTTTCTTTTTCTCGGGTCCCATTGGGGGTGGGGGTGGATTTGCCACCAACAAAATGGCTCGATTCTGACAAAATCCCACATCATGTAGTTAGCAATAGATTTCTTTGGATACCTTTCTTTAGAGACAATATGACCAACTCTCGTTTCTAAATATAAAGCCCTTTTTTGTCTCTGGGTTCTTTCTAGCAGTAAGGTAGAGAGCTTTTATTTTAAAATACTTTTATTTCTCTTTAGTTGAAAAGTTTTCCCCTTGTCCAAACTTTGAATAAATTACCTACTTCATGTCAACGTTATCTGGATTAGCACTTTATGAGAGAACCCCGTTGTCCCCTAATGCAGCTGTACTATAGTGGGATAACAGGGAATTCTCAGCCTTGTTCCCATAAATTGTGAGCTAAAGAAAAGGACGATCATAAATGATGGTGCTGGTGATTCATAGATGTGTTGTATGCTTTGTGCCTTCCTTACCATATGTGCTTTCTAAACTCCTGATTCTAGAGTGTTGTCTAAAGATAATTAGGTACCTAGGCAAGTCTGCTTCTCTGCAAGTCTATGATATTTAGATTTTGTAAAGTGATTATTATCATATGAAATTGCATCCTTAGCAACACACATGCATCCCATGAAACAAAACAAAAAATAATTGTTTGTGGCTACCAGATGAAATTTTAATTTTGACTTACGTTAAACATTTTGTGTTAGGTGAACCAAAAGGTTGCAAAATTCAACAGATAACTGTTTTTAATCTACTTTTTATATAGCCGTATAGTAATTAACAGTAGTGCTTTTTAATATTTTTGGAAAGCATAAAATATCTATAAAAACCAACCTTATGAGCAGGACTGTTGCTAACTTTGAAGTACTTAATATTCATGTTTATATAAGCCAGATGGAATACATTCAGGATGAAATTTCAGTATAAATTTTGCCCTTGAATATAGTCTTTGAAAATTTCATCTCACAGCCATAGGATATCCTCCCCTCAGAAAATTAACAGGGGGCACTTCATGTTTTAAGTAGATGTAAGCCCTTTGTGAAGACTGTATCATTGCCTACCAAATCTATAATTGGATTAGTACCAATTATGGATCAATGATGAATTATGGATCACTAATGACTAATTGACTGGGGTCATAGTCAATCAAACTGACAATATGACTTTTGAAGTTCACTCATCTTCCAGGATTGCCACTAGTTTCAGCTATCCCTCAAGAACATTTGTGTCTGCAGCCTCTGTTCTTATACTTGACATACCTGATCCCTACATGGCTTAGGAAGGGATGCTTCCGGATATGTTCAAATGTGGTCAGTTAAAGCCACTATTAGGCAACTATTACAAAATCTCACATTCCAACCTCCTGAAACAGTTGAAACACCACCGATGAAAAGAAAATTTCAGTCATCATGATTACTTGCTTTGGTTACTCGCTGTAACCAAAATGTAGATGATAATATGTTCTGTTAGCTCGAAGAAGCTGACCAATACCACAAAAATGTAAAAGATTTGAGCTTGTTATTCAGTATTTAAATAATTGTTGCTCCAGAAGGCAGGTGTGAAGGTAACCTTTCCTGTCTTGCCAGGAGCCATGGGGATGAGACAGCTTTATGGAATCACAAGGCCTCTGGGAGTGTATTGTGAGGTCTCCCACTTGACCCAATAATGGGAGAATCTAAGGATTGATTATCAGAGGAAA